TCGTCTGGGTAAACTAGTGTGTCTTGCTACATACTCTTACCAGCGGCCACATATCGACGTTAGTTTCTTTTATTGTTTTTCATTTTCTCAGTTTTTCGGTTTCCTAATAGTAGAAAGAATATATTATTTTTAAAATGTTAAAAAACATAAAAACTAGTACTAACTGGGAAATATCTTTTAAAAATTTGGAGCCTTTTTAAGAAATTGGCATTTAAGCGCAACAGGAAATTCGAAATTTGAACCTCTTTTTCATAGAAAACTGTTGAAAGTTTGAAAAACTTCATTCCAAATTATTTCAAGCACTTTAACTCATAAATGTAATAGTGGTAAAATGATCCCCTGATGTGTGCATATTAACGGTGTGAGAGGTCTTTCAAAAATTTGTTATTTTGTAAAAATGTAAAATGTGTAAAAAAAATCGGAATGAACTTTACTTCATATTGAAGAGTGCAACATGCACTATCCTGTCAGCAAGTTTGAATAGCAAATTTGGAGCCGGTTTTGAGAAACTGGCGTTTCAGCGTTTTTGAAAATGCAATATAGTGAACTAGTTTTGACAGAAAAGTGTTGAGTTTTTGAGAAGCTAAATGTGACATTACTTAAAGCACGTGTACTCATAAATATAATAAAGTGAACAATTCGCCTCTAATGTAAATATAACGACGTGATAGACAAGTCAAAAAACATTTTTTGATAACTTTTTAAAAAACAAAAGAATAAAGCAAAATAACTGTTGTCATCTTATATAGTGCATTTATAACATGCTTACCAAAAGTTTAATGAAAAAATTAGGAACCGTTTTTGAGAAAATATTGTTTCTTTTATTTTTTTAAATTGCACATATTGCAAGGATTGTTGCGCAAAAACTACTAAAAGTTTCGAAAAATGTACCGGACCTTAATGAAAGAACAAATTATAAACAACAATTTTCATTTCAAGAAAAATCTCTATCTTTAATTTTGTAGTTCTAGGAAGACTCCGAAAAAAAACTTAACTTAAATTTGCGAAACCTTAAAACCTTAAAATGTAGTAACCGAGCAAACCTTAAAACTCGGATCTATGCCACCTCTGTAAGTGTATTTTACTATATTCGTAAAATAAATTTAAAGAAAAAATTTAAATAATTTGTTTTTGAGAAAACTTTGAAAATGTCCCAGGGGCTTCATGTAAAGTACCTCCAAACTCAAATGAATGATTTTGAAAATCACAGAGCTTCAGCGCAGGCCAAATGGACAGTGGTTTCTTCAATTTGAAAAAAAATCCTAAGTATTGTTCACATATACCAAAGAGACGGGAACACGGACGGGCAGACCGATGGAAAGACAGACGAAGAGATGGAGGGACAGACGTTTTGCTTTATAAACATTTTTTGGTATCAAGGACCAACAAAACGTTGTTTCAGCCTACACAACGTGTTTGAAGTATGAATTGTCCAATTTTTCGGAATCAGGAACCAACAATACGAGTTTTTCTTCTGAAAAATCAACATGTGTGGTAACGTAGTGCATGTAAATATGTGTGAAAGTAACGGACGGGGATAGGTCATGGAAAATGAAAGATAACACACGGTCCGTGTCCATTTTATAGGATAGTGCTTCCTTATTTGCCTGGTATTGATAGGAGAATTACAGTTAAGAGCAACCAACTGTGAGAATTATCCTCCAGTTAGCGGCTTAATTAAACCTGAAGACCGTTCACCGTAATTCTTAGTCATCATGTGAATAAATTTAACATTAAATAATATTTGTGATGTGGTTAATGAAGATCCGGGTTTGCCTATTTTTAAAACAATGTCTCTGTCTGTCTGTCTGTCTGTCTGTATGTCTGTATGTCTGTATGTCTGTATGTCTGTATGTATGTATGTATGTATGTATGTATGTATGTATGTATGTATGTATGTATGTATGTATATATATTCATTCTTTTAAAATCTGTATGCTTAATTTTAAAAAATATACAAATATAACACAATTTGCATTTGTACAAAAAAGTGTGATTCAAAAAATTCTGTATTTAAATCACACCAGGTATAATTCGTGAATGTTGTAAAGTAGAACCTAAAGCGTGCAGATTACATGAAGTTATCATCAAGTGAATCAAATACAGAACAAATGTGAATAATATAATGTAAATATGCATAAAGAATATAGCTGCAAAAACAGTAGGAAGAGAATAGTAGTAAGCATAAGAAATAGTAGAAAAAAAAGTAATCGTAGATAAAATTCTATTAAAGTACAAAATTAAAGGTTTTACACAGTATTCAATGATCTGTGTTAAGAGTTTAAAAAAAATAATATATAGTATTCAACGAATTAAGAATGGAGTAAACTATAGCGTACAAAATATTTATCAGTTGCATTTAATTAACTCATACTCAATCACTCAATTCACAATTTAATACATACAAAATTGTATATATGACAGTTCCTGCTGCGGCACGTGTTGGTTTCGAGTATGATCGTGGAGGGAAAGGCACAGCCAACTATCACATGGTGGAGGGAAGAGTATTACTTACAAAAGTTTGTTTACAAGCTGAATAAAGTTACAGAAACCGGACCATAGTTACAATATATATCTAGTCGCCAAAATCCTCGTCTGTCTGGGCTCGAACTCTAGAACAACCCGATTAGAAACGCTGCATATGCAATATCTACAGTGGCACTGAGCCACCGCATCCTGTTTTGAAAGTGCATACTCAGACACTGTGCGGTCTGAGTAAAACGGTGACGGTATCCGGGTAGGTAATCGGTTAAAATGTTTCCCTGTTATGAATTTCCAGCGGATGCGGCAACAGTAACATATGGCACCAGCAAAAAATACACAAACCACAATACAAATACACAAAATATACAAATACACATACGTCCGATTTTTGCTTTCTCATCCTCCCCCACTCATAAGCTTCCACTTCTTTTAACATACGCTTCCCAGAGGCGTGCCTTGGTTCTCGAAGGCTTCGGTACCGAAGGCTCAAATAAGGCCTTTTAAGTGTGATTGCTAAACGTGAAGTCATTAGTTTTAGATAGGTAAACATTGCAATGTAAATTAGACTTATCCAGAAAAAATCTCCAGTTTTCCAATTTTCAAAAAATCAGGGAAAATGGGATCTACGCAATTATTTTAGCGTCTTTTACATTATCCGGGAACAAATTTGGAGAAGTTTTTTAAAAAATGTTGAAAACGTTGTGCCTTCATGAAATGTACGCCCAAAAATTGAAATATTCGTTTTAAACTCGCAGGATCTCTAGTTTCTTTACATCGATTGGAGAAAGCAATTTTGGAGAAAATCGACAGAACGGTTTTGGTGCTATCTTTGACTACTGCCAGACAAACGTTTTGCCGTTTATCAAGTTTTTTGTATCGAAGATCCTCAAAACATGGATTGTGACTACCCAACGTGTTAAGAGTGTAATCTACTACATATACGACTTTACTAAATTATAAGATTTATGCACTTTTTCGTGACTAGGAACGGCAATAATTTTTTTCTGTCGAATATTAGTTGTTTTTTTTCTTCACATGATTACAATACTTTCTCTCCTACGAAGTAAATGCAAGAAAGTAAAAAACCAGGTGGTGCACATCCGTTTTGTGCCGTTGCACTTTTTAAATTGCTAATTTTTTCAAATGAAAATTTTACGAATACATTTGTAGAATACGAGCTATGGTCATGCGGTGTGCGAGTGAGAAGTAGCACAGCTCCTTGCGATGCTATACAGCTATAATATACAGAGCGTAAATATACAGTCGAAGTGGCGCATGCGCTGAGAATAATACCTTCTCTCTCGCCCACTTGTCCTCCAGAATATTCTTTGTTATTGTTGTTATTTATTAAAAAAGTTTTCCCCATTCAATTACACCGATATTAAAGAATAAACGTAATTAAATATTTTGGCTACGAATTATGTATTACATAATTTTTCAGCATGATATACTTTCAAAATAATTTTGAAAAGTAACCTTATCTTTATAGAATATGGTTGGTGCAGTGAACATGACTGGATTTCTGCAGTGAACCGGTTGCATCAACGTGGTTTCACCAATGTTGCTTCCTTATAAGCTTTCACATAGATTGATTAGTGATTCCAGAGCGTCATCTTCTAAGGTCCGTAAACACAGATACTTATAATCGCCCATATCTAATCTGAAATCACAAACACAATTGTAATATCTAGAAATGTTGTGATCCCCAAATAGAGATCGAAGGTTTAATCATTCATCTGATCGAATTTACATTCAAATTATTTCTTTAATTTTTTCCACATATGTAATAAAGAACGGCAAAAAGTTTTCACTAGTTTCACTTTCGGGTAATGCCCGTTTTTTTCGATGATTGCAAAAAATTCCCCAAAACTACAGTATTGATGAAAGAAATGTTTGCCTCAGAACAAAATTAGCTCTTCAAAAAGGATCACGTAAAAGTTTTGGAAAAAATTAGTGGTTTCATTAATTTCTTATTAAAATTAACGAAATATATACAGATTTCACACGATTTAGCGGCCACGCAAAAATATTGAATGAACGATATGAGAAATAATTAATTAATTGTATCATTATTTCCTATTGAAAAAGTCAATATTAGTTCTAGTTTTGCTTTTTCGTGTCTTTACTTTACTTAACTTAATTCTACAATTAGTATTCTCAATGTATTGAAATAAACTTGGTGTGCCGACGGTATAATGGCGTTCATCGTTTCTTCATACCGCAGAAAAAAAACGCCAACGTCGGGACTCGAATCTAGGACCTCACAGCGGGAGATACCACAGTGACATCAGTTGATGCTCTGATCCGCTTCTCCTTGTTGGAATACACGGAACTTACATGGTTTTGTTCATTGGGAATTCCCACATCCTGAGACAGCGGATACACGGTGGGGAGGGAATGGTTCTCCTCACAACGCCTCCCGACCGCAAGCAGAAAACGAATCGTATAGCAGGAAGCGGTCACTTTTCCGTTGTCCGCTGCCGGGCGTCTTCTCTAATCACTCGTTTGTTTACAGACCTCGGTCAAACTCTTTGCGAGTCTGTTAGTGAAGTGCGTGAAAGATTATCAAGTGTAGCAACTTTGCTCCAACTCAACAGTTATCGTTTTCACCACATCAATTTCCAACTGGTCTGGATCGTTTTCCCTGACTCCAAAGATCAGTAAGGGATTTCGTCGTGTTGTTGTCTCCAGTTAATCGGTTTTTGCGGCCAGATCGGTCTTCTGTTGTTTTTTTCAATTTCCAGATCACTTTTTACTCCTCATGATCGCCCTAGTAAAAGTAGACGTGCTTTATCCGCGATGCGATTCAGAGGGCACTGCGCAAGTCGCCCTCTAGATCAAACGGGTGTACGAGTCGACCGTCACCACTGGGTTGATTGCTTCGCTGCTGCAACAGCCATGCGTACGTTTCTGCTTCTGCAGCTGGCGATCCTGGCGGTAACCGATGGAACTAAAGGCATCCAAGTACGTCCAGTGAAATGTTGCGGGAAATTTAGGATGCTCTCTGGAGATGGTAAATCGTGCGTTGACACCGATTGGCCACAAAACGTCTCCCATCCGTTCCACGGCGAGAGTTACACCTTACAGCCGATAGACCTCAATTGGATGCGACGATGGCTGCCACCAGGAGTTCCACTTCAGAGCATACGAAAAGTGTACTACAACAAGGAATATTACGTGAATACTCTTCCTAACATTGTGAAAGTTAACTCATCTTCGGTGTGGGATGCAGCACACCCTCCCAGGGAGAACATCTGGAAAAGTCAGTTAGTATTTTCCGATCAAACCGCTATTTTGAGGCCCAGGCCAGGTGGGGGAGTTAGAGAAGCCATTTCATCCTGTGTCGATGCTGCGATGCCCCCTCTAGGACCATACGCATTGCTTTTTGGGACCGTCTGTACGGATAATGAATGCGCCACGAAGTGTTGCCGACGAGGGGAAACTCTTGTGAAAGTAGATGAGACATGGGTGTGTAAAAGGGACGATGAAAACTTCTGGGATCCGTTTAACTCTTCCTTTGCAAAAGAGATTGATGCGGAGTTTCCTATACGTGTTTATATGCGGTGTCCAGACCTTCGTCTCACGGACTCTGCAAAACGTTCTCTGGATTTCGCTCTCTCCCTGAAGAGCCAATTTACTTTCTCCACAAGAAGGCCTTGCGTCGACTTCTACCGAAAGAACACCACCGTTCAAGAAGGCGTCTTCTACTGCGAAGACATGCGCATAGCAAGAGGTGTCTATTGGCTGCTGCGACCGCTGTGCATCACATCGGTGTTGCTACTTCTCGTGTCGCTAGCATCTATCGCATGCGATAAGAGTATGAGAAGCAAGGTTCACGGGCGGTGTTTGGCTCATCATGCTGCGTGTCTCTTGGCTTTCAACGTGGGCCAGGTTGTGTACTATGTAGCATTAAGTAACACTATAGATAGTAACCAGGAAGTACCGAAAGATCTCAAGAAAATGTGCACACATTTTGGTAAGTATTATACTATATAAAATAATTAAGAACAGTATTACTTACTAAAGTATCAAAACTTAATTGCGAACTTTCATCTAACTACGAATATAGTCACGATTATGCTAGTTACAATTATATTATGTGTAGTTACTGAAATGAAAAACCGTTAAAAATGTACAGAATGAAAATTGACTGCGCTAGGCTTTTAGTGAGTACGTTGCTTACCTTATAAGATGCTAAGCTGTTGCTTCCCTTTTAAGTAAACGGCAATGCGTAAAAATTAGAAATAGTGATGCAGACTGGCACAGAATTCTCAAAACCTGCACTAGTTAGTTTTCTAGTCTCTTTATGTTTTCGGTATTCCCCCCCCCTTCACAGGTACTATCCAGGAATCCTAAGAGATGTGTTCCTATCGACTCTTAAAAATATTTTTTTACATTTTCTCATTATTCTCCCCTCCCAACAGTAGAATTTACAATGAGACAAATTGGAAGCCTTTTTGAGAAAATTTCGTTTAATCGTTTTTGAAAATGCTTAATTTTTTCTTCATTTCTATAAATGTAATTATTTTAGCTTTCAAAAAAAGTCATTAGAATTCATTTCATGTCCTTGTTATCTCAAATGCAATTATGATTGAAATTTGTCATAATGTAAGTATTAATAATGTGAAACATATTAAAAATCTATTCATGTAATATTTGCAAAATCAAAATAATGTGAAAAATTGAAGACCTTTATAAGGAAATGTTTTTAAAACTGCCTTTATTTCATGTAAAATTACGCAGAAACCTCTCTATATTCTGAAAAAGTTGAACCACGTCTCATTTAAAGATCTAATTTTGATGAATAGAAGCAATAAAATCAGCTTTTTTAATAATAAATTATATGATTAATAAATATGTTATTGCAGTTTCTGTTATAACTTTCCTGTTGCGTATGGTCGCAGGTCTCTGTATGTATTTCCTGTCGACGGCTGCCTGGTTTTGGCTTACTGCCGTCTGTGTAAACATGGCGCTGGGCTTCAAGTAAGATCTTCATTAAACTTTGTTAATCAGCTGGTGAACGCTCCTTTGTATGTACGTATGCACGTATCTACGTATGTAGGTATGTATGAAGGTATGTATGTGTACGTATGTATGTGTACGTATGTATGTGTACGTATGTATGTGTACGTATGTATGTGTACCTATGTATGTGTACCTATGTATGTGTACCTATGTATGTGTACCTATGTATGTGTACCTATGTATGTACTATGTATGTACTATGTATGTACTATGTATGTACTATGTATGTACTATGTATGTATGTATGTATGCCTAGCGGTCATGGGTCAAGTGGGTGCGTGTGCTTAGCACGTAGACATCCCTACGCCATTTTCCGGTCTTCTCATATATATAGTGTTATAAAGGGAAATATTGTTAGAAAGGGAAAAAAGTTAATTATTTATTTATTTATTTATTTATTTATTTACTACTTATTTATTTATTTACTACTTATTTATTTATTACTTATATATTTATTTACTTATTTATTTACTAATCGGCCATAAGTCCTTTCAAGACCGTGAATACTACATGTAACAATGACTACTTACATTCTCATTATGGTTTTGGCACCATCACTAATTGCTAACACACGAAGAAAGATATGAGATATGTTTAGGAAATTCATGGAGACAGTACCTTTTCTTTTGATATAATATTATGTAGATAAAAGTTCATGAATATAGGAATAAAACTATATTTGTATGAAGAAGCAAATAATTGTTCTTTACACAAGAAAAATAATAATCGGAACAAATTCGAGTAAGTGCCCGAAAAAACTCTTCCTATGAAAATATTATCAACATTTTTGAGCCGTTCTACAGATTACTCCGTACAGACAAAAGTATAAATGATTGATTTTTCACTTTCTCGCCCTTCCTTCGTAAGAAAAAGTATTGTAATCGTGCGACGGAAAACGACAAAAATGGACAAACCTTTTTCCTAGTAAATCCCTTCCTACCACGTTCTTTGGCCAGAATCCATATTTTGTAGGCCCCTAAAAATAAAAAAATCTATTGACGGCACGACGTCCGTCCGTTCTTGCGTGTATCCACTAGTGGTGAAAGCTAACGCCTTTTTACTTTCCCGTATACATACGTATATACGAAGTAATAAACGTAATATATGGAAAGTTATCTAATGCTGCGCGAAAGAAACAACGGGAGATGAGCAGAAAAAAATTCATTGCCGGGCCTGATAACGAAAATTTGGATAAATCCAGTTGATATATTCAGAAAAAATCTTCTTACATGTAATGTATCCAGAATCTATGTTTTGTGAGTCCTTGATACCGAAAAACCAACTTGTTTCATCCAAAACGTCTGAACGTCTGTTCGCCGTGTCCGTCTGTCAGTCTGTGACAACATACGCCCAAGGCATACGTACGTTATTTTTTTCAAAATGGATATGCCTGGTCGATATGGCTTTTAAAAAGGCTCCAAATTTTTAAACCCCGAAAATTTCCATGTACACATTCTTATTTATTATTATTGTTAGTATATATGTTATTGTTATTCGCGTTGCCTATGACCAGCAACACATCTTCTCAGGTCAGTTTTATTCTAGATCCTGGAAATAACTTGGTGATAATGGGTACACTCGGTCTGCATTCTTCATTAAGTCAAAGTTGTAGCCTGTAAATAATAAGGGAGTTAGGATGAATGATTATGAAGATCAATCAGCACATACATCATTATTATTTATATATTATTATTATGATTATTATATATTATTAATATACTATATAATGATTTTGAGAGTAGTGATCAGGAATGGGATGATGTAGGTGATGGTTTAAGTGGGTTAAGTGGAAGACGGAGATGTTTTGGATTTGAACACCAAGATTCGCATTGTGATCGGTAGAATGGGCGACTCGGAGGAACCGACTCTCGAATTGCAATCGCGCCTAAAGCATAAGCCACTTTGGCTCGTTTACTCTTCTTAAAATTGGTCTCAATAATATTTCGTTTCACTGTAAGAATCGAAATGGTAAAATTAAAAAAAATTATTTGGGTGGCGATAGTGTAGCCAAAGAATTAGGCAAGACCTAAAAGCTAGCCCACACTCAGAAAAATTAGTAAATTTTACTACGAGAACATTTGTGCCATTCTGTAGCACCATTAATTTTGTTCTCAGTGCCCGGCAATATGAGTATTTCTTGCGAAAATTCGCGTATTTTTTCGCAGCATTACATTACTTTCTCTCTACTGCGTAATCAGTAGAGAGAAAAAACGAACAAACAGTTTAAAAATATCAAAATGCTGCGCAAGAGCATTGGTTTAGCACGTTTGAAGAGAGTAGAAAATGGGCTAATGAAATGAAATGGGAATGGCACGGAATTTGAGTCATCGTGTCAATATGTCAAACATGAAGAAACATGACACTTGATCTGACCGGCTGAGATATGTGAGGGCATCAGCTGATGCGACTGCAGTGCCTGTCACAAGGAAGTTGTAGAGTTCGAGTCCTGACGGTGTGATATTTTCGGCACTAGTCTCGAAGCTGCCGGGAGGAGAATTCTAGCGGCCGTTTGGTCTGATCGATAGATTTTTCTAGTTTCCCTGATCAACACCAAGCGAATGTCGGAGCAGAAATGGGTTACGGACCGCGCGCGATTTTTCCTTCACCTTCCTCGTCCTATCCTTACCACTTGGCTACCCAACCCTACACTTACATGCACTACTCTACCTCTCTTGTTGAGATCATGCAGCTCGTTTCGGTTGGTGTAGTGCCCAGATGTCAGGAAATAGATGAATGATGAGAACTTCTCCAGGTCGGTGCAGGATCTCGCCATGAGCGTGCCCTCACCTCCCGTTATAAAACATGCGCTCTACAGATCGAGCTTGAACAGTTGAACGTTTCCGGAAGGGAAAATAATCTATGATTCAACATCACTTTGTCTGTCCTTTCAATAAAGTAAACTAATGGTGCTAAAACAGCACATACAAATGGTTATGTAATACTATTTACACCACAATTTCTCTTCGAATTATTTTTTGAAAACTCATTTGATGTCGTAGAAAATTTGGTGCGATAAATAAGCAGTATACCAGATAGTAAAATAATTTTAAATTAATAAATAATACAATACTGACAGCGTTGGCAAACAAACGAAAATAGATCTAAAAGTTTATAATGGTAATTATTAAACACTATGGTATTGTAATATTCTACAAATATATAAAAGTATTCGCTTTTATCATTACGAACGAAAAGCAGCCGTCAGTATTGCCTTCTGTTATCAGTGCGGTGTTAAAACAATAGGTTACAACAACCCACAAAGACCGCTCATCTATTCGTTTTCACATTTAACATATTAAAGGACGCAATTACTCCAAAAATGCTCATATTTTTGAAAAATGCAACACGACTTTATTTTAAAATCTGTTTTTGATAACATATGTCATTAAGAAAATAATGAATTTCCATAATTGTTGTTGTGGGAAAACACAGAAAAATTTTTGAAATGTTGAATTTTTTCAAATGTCGAAATATCAGATTTTCTATCAACATGAGACATGCATTATTTTTTTACGTCCTTCAGATGTTCACCAACAAAATTTCATCAAAAACCAAGGATCCTGTTTTAAGGAAATTTTTTTAAACGAAAATTAAAAATTGCCTTTATTTCACGCAAATTTACACGAAAATACTAAAATTTTCGAAAAATTGTACATCACCTTATTTCAAAATCTATCTTTAAGGAATATGTTTTATTAAGGGAAAAAATCTTTATTAATTTAGTTGTAGGAAGACGCCGAAAAAATTGATTTTTTTCTTAATGTTCAAAAATCAAAGTTTTCAACTAACATAAGACCTGCGCCATTCTCTTAAACATCCTTCAAACTATCCAACAACAAAATTTAATCAAAATCGACGGCGCCATTTTTTTCGAAAACGTTGATATTGCTGGGGGGCTTCATGTAAAGTCCCCCCATATTTACAAATTCAAGTGTTCGCCACAGTTAAAGGTTAAATTGATCTGGAAATTTCAGTTTTTGAGAAAATCGGCTAACCAGTTTAGCCACCAATGTTGTTCACAGACGGACAGGCGTCATTCGAGTTTTCTGTGTCAAGGACCCACAAAACAAGATTCTGGCAGCACCACGTATTAGAGGATTTTTTTCCTAAATTCAGCCACTGGATTTATCCCCTTTTTCGTTACCAGTGTCTATTAATACAGAGATAAAATAATATCAGAGTTTTTGTGTGCCGAAAATTCGCCTTTTTTTGGGCAGCATTACATAACTTTCTCTTCTTAAGAAGTTCCTTCTTAAGCGCGAGAAAGTAAAAGGAAAGTCAGTCTGCATATGCCGACATGTTACTATAAGTCATGTTGCAGAGGACTGAGGATTTTAGATTACCATTAATTGTTCAATTCTCTTTTGGTCAGATTGCAGGTATTTCGTACAAGTAGGAGCGGAAGAAAGAGATTAGTTCTTTTTTCGGCCTTCTCGTGGGGGCTTCCCGCACTTCTGACAATAGTATATTCCTACTTGTTCACTCCTATGGAATTTGGTTACTTGTCAAGTGAAGACATACCGTGGCACAGACCTCAGCTAATGGAAGCACGAGTGTGTTACTCAGAAACTCTTATTGTAACTTTAGGTAAGTATCAACTGCCTTGTAAGTATGAGAACTATTATTTCATAGTTTGCCAAATCACCAATATTCTGTCATCTGTTCGCATAATTAGACATGTTGCTGCTTTCATGCATTTCCAAAGATAATGAGACGAATTGAAGACGAAAAATACTGGAAAAGATGACATGGGCCTAAATCCTAAGAATATGTTTTCTTTTTGTATAACCTGAACTCTAGTAAATACTCTCGATCGTAATCAGTTGTTCAGAACGACCAAGTTTGGCAAGGACGTTTTCTATACAAATTCAAAAAAGGAAAAACCTTTGAGACCACTGATCGTGCATTGCAAAATGGAAGATCTACATACCCAGAGGGACCCACCAGATGGATTTTCCATGAAGGTTTTTGAACTATTTGATTCTCTTCACTTAGGCGGAGAAGTTTGGGGACTATAAATAGATGCTTGTGCTTTTAAAAATTGTCAAAAATCAAATACCAAAGGCATAAGCTAAAAGTACAGCCTGACTTCTTGTGCTAATAGATATTTCAATAATTTTACAAAATGAGAACGATCAGATTATTATGTTGCACTATTAGAACAGATAAATGTTCACAAAGAAAATGTGAAGGTTAACAATAATTAGTTTTTTAGAACAAAATTGCACAAAAATAACGAAGAAGTTAAGTGGTAGAAACTGTTTTCGTTATTGTTTGTTCGTAATGGCAATATCTCGGCGATAATTTGAGTCAAACGAAAACGACTATTCCCCCACGACACACTCATTACAGCATGCACTTTTGTCGTACAGTTGGCTCCTATTTTAAGCTTGGATGAGTGAGATAGTGCTTAATGCTAAATTTTTACAGTAGGGATCGTTTCTTATTAGGAAAGAATGGCACAAATTAGAAAGTGCATTAATATAAGTGTGATAAACAAATAAAAGTTAACGCCCATTATCATAATTTCCTTTGCATATCCTTGGTGCTCTTCTTCCAAAATGTGACGCTCTTTGCTGACTGCTTCTGCTATGTAGTTCTTACGTTGTGCAGCTCTCAGAGAGAAATAGTGGCCATTAGTGCAATTAATAAGTCATTTTGCCTTGAAAAAGGTGAGGTAGAAGATTCTATTTTTTTTATTTTGCTTATATTGTTATTAGTAAGAAATTTAGTTTTCCACCTTGAAATACTTTGGGAAAAGTTTTAGTTGCCAAAACATCAAACAATTGTCGGGCTTTTTTGGTTTTTACGTAATACCTTTTTCACAGTTGATCTTAGTGCAGAAATAGTTAAGTACAATATTAAAGATCATTCAATTCTCTACACAGTTACTTTATAAATTATTCCTCTCAGGCAAGTATATACAGCGCTATAAAATTTTCAAATTCCACCTAATTTTTCTTTTTATTCTGAAATTGCCCAAAGTACTAATGGTCTGTCTAATGTGGTGTTTTTGAATACTTAGGTCAATATAAAAGCGATTAAATGCTATGTTTTTAATGTTTACTGAGGTTAAACTCACGTTTGAAAGTTCAGATAAGAGTGACAGAAGGTCTATACTTTCTGGCAACAAACACGATTAACATACTTAAAAAAGTTTCAATACAAAAAATTACGTTTGTTACTTATTTTTATAATAATAATAATATTAATTAATAATAATAATAATTACTATTATTATTATTATTTCCTTGAAATAATCAATAATATATAATCAATGCGTATGAAAACCGTCAATATGAATGGAATCAGAAAATAACACGCATTGCTTACGAGAATTTGTTCATAGAAAAAGCACGGTACCACAATTTCTGTCAAAAAAGGCCGACAAGAAGAAGAGAGTGAAGGGATGTCCCATACACAATAATGTTGATGAGACCATGCAGTTTATACGTGTATATTCTTACCTTGAAGGCAACTCTGATGAGTACCACTCTCTTATTTGATGATTTGATGGGCAAATACGGGAACATTGCGAACCCGATAGCCGCACATAGTATTATCGCGCTTCCTTCAAAAGTACGGAGAAGCCAAATCGATAACAAACAGCAAACAGAATGTCTGTTGTATATCTTTGACATGTTGATTACAAAATATTGAATGACTTCTGGTATTGAAACAAGAAATATAATGTAGAAGATACACGTCTCAGTCTTTAAAACAGAAGCTTACCCACTTACAGGTATATCAAATAAAGAAATACCAGCAAACACTTTCTTACATAATATTAAATCGGTCGTGCCAGAGACGTTGTCTTTATTGTTTGAGTCAGGAATTTTGTAACTCTAGAGAGGTGCAATTGACTCACGGAAGAAAGAAATGTGTGTCGTTGGTACGTGCTGTCGTATTAGCAATAAGATTTAAGAATTTTTTTCTCTTCCATTTGACAAGTGTTAGCGTACAAGAAGTTTGGATCAAAGCTACTTATTGATATCTTATTTGTTATTGGATTCGATTCATCGTACTTTCAAACTTCATTACTTGGAACACCTTACGTTCTATTAAATAAAGAAAAAAAACTAAATATTGAAGCTTTCTGTCAGTTCATATTTGACAAGATGCAGATCATAACTTATTAGATGGTTTAGTACTTTCCATCCTATGGTAATAATAACAATATTCCCCAATCTGCAATCGAGCTTCTTCTACGCCCAAATCCTCGTCAGCAAAGCATGTGCACGGAACAGTCATCTTTTTGATTCCATAAATTCTATTGTATTCTCTTTCCCATCCAGAAAACAATAGGTTTTGAAAATGAAGCATCTATTATGTGACGAAAAACCTGTTCATATTCTTGGCTGAGACTGCACACTTCCCTTTCGAGTTGATGCAAAAATCTATTTTTTAGGTACTTCCTCCCACAACAATTTTTGAATTGACTCGACTCCTTTCTTTTACACCACAATTACATCACTTTCGTTCCAACTACCCTCACATATAAAAACCACTCGCAACATATTAAGTTAAGCTTATTTATTGGAAACGTTATTTGTTGTGAACCTCTGATTCAAAAAGGATCGAGAGGGAAACGAGCAATTTAGCAGCAATGAGGAAGCACTATTGGTATCAATATAGGGGACAGAGAATTGCCAAGATTTAAAATTAATATAAAATCCGTTGTAAATAATAATTTCTATAATGCCCTTTCATAAAACAAATATATCTATAACTATTAAAGGTTAGTAGTTATTATTAGTAGTATATTTACCTCTAAATAGGCTTTTCCGTCTTAGAGCAGAAACAGCCATGATGCACATAAGCATTCCTTTATAAAATTATTTTAAAATTACTGTTATTAATATTATTATATTAATATCAAATAGACTATAATTATTAACATTGCATAATAATAATATAATATTATTATTAATATAATTATCACAGGAAAGTAACGAACAACATTTTATTCTATTGAAATGCTTTTGATGTAAGTAAATCGCGTAGTTGCCAGAATGTATAGACATACTATTACTCATACTTAAACTTTCAAACGCTATTTTAACCTCAGTAGTTATTAAAAACATTAGTATTTAATTGCTCTTTATTTATAAGAACCCTAACCTTTCAAAAATTCTATATTATCGAGACCATTAATATTTTTGGACAATTTCACAATAAAAGGAAAAAATGGTAAAATTTTAATCTCTAGTAGTTCTGTTACTATTTGCTTACGAGAAATAATTTATAAAACATTTGTAGAGTATTATGACCTTTCAAATTGTATATAACTAATTTGTACTAAGATCAACCGTTAAAAAATATTATGTAAAAACAAAAAAAAATTCAGAATTTTCTTTTTTTGTGTTTTTGACAACCAAAACATTGAAGTATTTCGAGTTGGAAAACGTAGGGTTTTCGTATTAATAATAATAAAAACAAAATATAAAATAATCTTTTTCCCCACCTTTTGCACGGCAGATCCTTTTTTCACTCTTTAGCGACTAAAAAATATACTTCTTATATTTTGGCAAATGTATTTTGACTTATTTATACTTTTTAAAAGCTAGGTATTTTAATGGAAATAAATTGTTGTGGTAGTGACTAACAAAAATTAATTGAACTCTTCTCTCTTCTTCAAGGATAAATCGTGATAGTCGTATCCGTTGTAATAAACGTTTGTATCTATCGGATATCACTTGCCTCGTTCTGTCAGGTAAATATCGTTTGGGTTTGACGTTAATAGGACTATTAATATTTAATAATCGTTTTCATTCAGTCCAAACGTTCTCACACACCTTCTAAGATCAAACAGAAAAAGTTAAGAATAGTTCACTTTTAACTAGGGTCAAACATACCCAGCGTAATTAACTCATTTCCATTTGTTTTCCAGATAAAGATCATAAACAACAATATATTTCACTCAGATATGGCACAGCGATTTTCTATTACGGCCCAATGGGATGTCTGGTGTTGTGCAACTGCATGTGCCTTGTGCTCGCTCTGACAAAGATGCAGAAACTCAGGAGAGGGAACTCGATTCTTCGCAAAGATGAACGGAGAGCCCCGGGACATCATCATGCGAATGAGAATACCCGTCCCCCAGCGTGCACTGCGAGTCCCGATGGAAGAACGAACAAAGCCAGAAATGGAGGGAGCAGTCGAACTGCTACAGACGCAAAAACGTAAGTGTTAATTTACAATTGACATCCTTTTATTCATTAGATCAATATATATTAAACAGTAACTACATACTATATATATATACATTCACTATATATATAATAATATACATACATAATATACTATAATATATAGACATAATATATACATCATATAATAATAGTAATATACATACATATATATTTATAATATAAACATATATTATCTTACATATGCATACATATATAAGTATACATCATATCATTATAATAATATATCATACATATATATATCTATACCATATACTATACATATATTACATACATCATATCATATATACATATACATACATATATATATACAGTATACATACATATATTATATATAATATATATATAACCACATATATATACATTGGTCCGTTGTTGTGAGTCCGCTTATGGGTTGCGAAGCGTTACGTTCAATATCTCGGGAGACGCAAGAGGGGATACGCTTGGTTCAGGGTTGGGGATGGATGCAGCGTAGACTAAATTACGCAAGTGTAATGGCATACGGGTGTGCTTTGCGGTGATAGGAGACAGATCACATCCCTCTTATTTCTGTGAACCGAATATGGAGAAAAAAATGATGGAATGGGAGAAATTACTACGTTCTAAACAGGAACGAACGCTCGCCACAAACATTTATAGGTGATAAAAGGTTCTTAAATTCATGAAAGAATTAGGACATTCTTACGATAGGTTCGGACCATTAGGAAACTAAATTAGGGAGTGGAAAAACAGCAACTGTTAGGCTTGAGCGATCCTAAACTGAGGAGAAATGAAATAAAGAGTCATAAGCTACAATATGTAAGTTTAATCAGTATTTTATTGTAATTTAGTAAACAGTTAAAGAAATTCATAAGTCATAGTTAATTTAATATAAAGTTTAATAAATACAATAAAATAAAACTGCATAGTAATAAGCACATTAGGGGCGATGGTAAGGGGATCGAAAAATATAAGGCAAGAGCGTTGTGCGGACCGTCTTCTGGTGGCGCTTGTTTGATTTCAGGTGCCTAGGAGAGCAAGCACTGGAGGAGACGGCGAGGACGCCGCCGCCAGAAAATTTTAAAATAGCTAAAATAAACTCAGATAGATTAGAATGTACTCGTTCTGACGCAGTTTTCCCTTTCAGGTTTTTTCCTGAGCCGTACTTACGTCCTCTCTTCCGCGCTTTATGCGATGGAGAGACGATTTGGGTGATAGTACAGAATCGAAGAATAGTAAAGCGACAGGATGTAGGTTATTGTAATGGCTTAAAGGCCTTCGGCCTAGCCACATAGGATCAAGTAAGCTAATTTGTCTGTAATAATTACCTACTAAATAAATAAATATATATTGTGACGTACTTGGGAAGCGGTACTTTCACGACAATAAAATTATGCAAGGGTCAGGTGCTTTTTCATGAATGGGTCTGGGAATTGGGCGCAACATAGGAATAGAATTGTTATAAACTCTTTTATACATCTAAACGTTTTAATAACCAAATAATACACCTTACAAATAATATTTACAAACAGTAATGCTTAGGCCTTGAAAACAAGCGCGCCGATCGACTCCAAGATACATACTACCTCGACCTTTAAAACGCCATCTGCTCCCTCCGGATGCGATGGATGATGAGGTAGTATGTATCTTGGAGTCGATCGGCGCGCTTGCTTCAAGACCTAAGCATAACTGTTTGCAAATATTATTTGTGAGGTGTATTCTTTGGTTATTAAAACGTTTAGATGTATAAAAGAGTTTATAACAATTCTATTCCCACGTTGCGCCAAATTCCTGGAGACCCATTCACGAAAAGGCACCTGTCCCTTTCATACTTTTATTGTCGAGAAAGTACCGCTCCCCTGGTACGTCACAATATATATATATATATATGGATAGATAGATATGTAAAGATATTGGTAAATATAAGAAATTTAAGTTCATTGATATGCAGTATTTTTTGCCTTCAGACAAAATAATACTGCATATCCATGAATATGCACTATTTGTTCTATTTACCAATATCAGCAATTCCAGCAAATATATCAACCTTACCTTAAAGTAACAAACTGTATGAATACAATTTCCAAATAATAATCAGATCTCCTTCACCTCTTTGGTGTTTTCCGTAGATATCACGAGAATGATAGATAAGAAAGTACATAGAATATTTGCAATTGATAGTCACCCACAATCGTTTTAACGATCACACAACACGATGTTCTCTAAGAGAGATTTACAGCTCTTCCATAACCCGCGAAGTTGCCAGGTTGCGCATGATGCCTTGTTCGTTTCCATTCTCGGATCGCATGTCAAATAATGCAAATTTCTTATAGCTATTAATTAATAAAAGAAATATGTTTTCTGCTCAATATATAGTGACCACCAGTCCTAATTTTTTGCTTTTTTTGCTATATCTCAGTTTTTGAAACCGTTCACTGAGAGTCCCATTAAAGGGACAACAAAGTCGTTCTCTTTAGTTTTAATATACATCATATTAATTGTTTTGTATCATTTTCAGCATTAAGGTGTACATCAAAATGCTGTTGATGACGGGAGGAATTGAAATTATCTCTGAAGTTGTCATCTGGGTCCGCACCAAATATGGACATGAATCAACTTTTGCTAGTGACGATTACAATTATCCATACCGCGCGTCAGGATACGTGACGGACTTCTTCCGGGCAGTGTGTGTGACGTGGTTAGCCTCCCCGGAGGGAGGCTACTTGAGCCTCGTCCGAAAGTTGATGCATATTGAGAAAAAATAAAAAATACTACATCTAAAGTAAGAATCAGTATATAACCAAATATCCAAAAGTGTGCCGACCTATTCACGCGAGTGCCGTTGAATTAAATCTGCAAATGCAAAAAAAATCAATTTTGTAATGAGAACTACATTAACAAACATTTTACAATTATAGTTGAAAAATTTCGGAAACTTCTAAAAGAATTGCATTCATTTAATGAATGAAATGTTAGTGATTAAACTTGCTCAAAATTAGATAGTAATAAGCGACCTGCCATGGTCAGACTCAAATAGCTAAGAAAAATGTCAAAGACACCTTACCTTCATATCACTAACTTTTATTTTAAAATAATAATAATAATGTTAGTGACAATGATAATAATAATAATAATAATAATAATAATAATAATAATAACGATAGCGAATCTGAGACACTATAATACAGTGATAAAAACCAGAAGGTCTCACAAACACTAATTTTGAACAGGAAAAAAAATTGAGAGAAAATAAGGGAAAGAAGGAATGCAAAACCATTAGGAAAGTTCTTGGACCAAAATTCACAGACGGGCGGTACAGACTCAGAAGCAAAAAAGAAATCAGACAATATATGGATACTCAGAGTGAAATCAGAAAACGTACACTATTTTTTATGAACACATGAAAGTAACGAATCTTAATTGTCTTGCCAAACAAATAGTTGAATTTTATGAGAACAGAAGTAAAGCAGCAACTGTCACTATAAAATGAATCAACGAAATTAAAAGGACCTTAAATTATCATGGATCACAGAAGAAGACATTCAGAATAGCAACACATTTACATGTACAGTGTAATCATGGTGGAGTGATTCTGAAGATGTACCAAAGTGTAGAAAAGGAAACATTGGATAGACAAGAGAGAAAAAAATGCACAGCCAAAGGATCAAGATATATGAACACAAAAAAAGGCTAAGAAACACATCTGAGTACTTTGAGCAGTCCTAATTGGGCTTATTCGCGAGAAGAAGAAGAAGAAGAAGAAGAAGAAGAAGAAGAAGAAGAAGAAGAAAAAGAAGGAAAAAAAGAAGAATGATAGCAAGGTGTGCCTTAAAAAAGAACTTGCGTACATGTTATTTGTGAGTAGTTATTGTGTACAGTAATAAACGATTATTAATGGCAGGTTAATTTTAACTTTATAACACCTGCTTCGAAACTTCGTGTAGAATAAAGAGATTGTTTCTTGTTTCAGCGCGCGTGATAAGTAATGGTTTGTAAACGAAAGCGACAGGACGGTTATTTTCAGAAACGCGAATAATGCTGAGAGTACGATGTATTAAAATATTTTAAAATAAATGTTTTTTATCCATACACACGATTTAGATTATTAAAAGTAAGTATAATAACAATATTCTAAAAAAATAAAGTTAATGCTATAAAATATTGACTTGTAATTTAATTTTTATGCAATATTCAGAGCTTCATTAGTCTATTCACTGCACAATATTCACATCACATTAAATTAAATTAAATTAATGTCACCTCCTCTTCCGCCTGACCATACAAACTTCGCTACGCTCCTTTCACCGACTAGCAGAGAAATGAGGTATCAATCTGACCGAGAATTTTTTTTTTTTTAATTTTACTCAGAGGTTCTTTTATGCTTGTTTGTGGATCTTTTAAATCTTCAACAAGGGACAACCGTCATTACTTCACCTCCGAAGGAAGGCGTACGAAGGATTTTTTCGTCATTAAAAATCCACAGCTTCGATTGGGCTTGAATCAGCGAACTTTACGTGTTCCATTGTCCTATCACACTACTTCTTAAAGTAGTCAGATCACTCGAAAGTCTGGTCAAAAACGATTTAAATCAGTTCTCAGCGGAGACTATATCGATCCCTTCAGGGTGTCGAGGCGGAAAGGAAACACACTTTTTGGATTGATTAATTGATTGATTAAATGCCTATGCTAGAATAAATAAAAGCAATAATAAAAAATTGATTCATTATTTACTAGTGATTCCAGGCGGCTCACCTCTTTCGTTAGACCCGAAAGTCAAGTGCCTGTGTTTTTTCCTCATTTGTGGTTGTATGGTGCATGCTAGTGTGTGTATGTAAGAGGAGAAGAAAGAAGGAAGGAGAAGGAAGTATCCCACGCGGTCCGTGCCCCGTTTGTTAGGGTACATCTCCGGCATTCACCTGGTGTTGATCGGAGAAACCACGTCAAACTACCGATCATCACAGCCGGCAGCTGGAATTCTTCTCCAGACAGCGGCTGCACTCGACCTAGTTATGTAGCTAGTGTTGAAAATCTTGCCACCGTCAAGAGTC